TTTTTTTTTTTTTTTTATGGATCGGCAAGTATTAGTCATCTTTTGAAGATACCCATGGTGAAATATCGATGTTGTTGAGGTGCCCCATGGCTTTCCTCCTTTAATTTCTTGTTCCTTCTTCTATTTTTATTGCTCTATTAAATGTCCGAGCATTGATTTGTCCTTTTCAACAAAAAAGTGCAGAAGTAAGTTTAGAATTCTCATTGCTACAAAATCTTAGCAGCCTACTAATACATTTTTTTTTAAATTTATCTATCTATCTATTTATTTATTTATTTAAGAAGAGAGCTCTTTCCATAGTTTTAATATTCAAACTTAAAATGTTTTAGAGTTTTTCTCTATATAATTTAATTAAACTCAATTATAACAAGAAAATCTTCGAAGGACTAAAGTTGGGTGTTCATGAACCCAACATTTGAAGAATTGTTTTTTCCCATCAAGTACCCAACTTTTGAAGATAATGATGTTTCAACAAAGCATGTTGGAATTAACAAGAGTTGATGATAGGTACAAAGTGGATTCGAAACCTTTGATAATTTGCACAGATGGGAAAAAGAATATATACAAAAATGCAAAGAGAATATGGATAAGGAAACAAAAGGGGAGGGAAACAGAGCAATAATAAAAGATGGGTATTTGGAATTGTTCATCATTTCATCTAATACATCCCTTGTTAGTGTAATAAACATTATGTCTCTTTATTACAAAAAATAAAAATGTTATATAAGAGTACTCTAAATTAATTGTAGTGATTCCTGACCTATCAAAAATTCACTCCTAGCCTGTTATAAGATACGACCACATCATTCCTTTTCTATCAATAGATCCCTCATTGCAAAATACTTACATAGGACCACAATCAATAAAGTGTATGTTGAGGTTAATTCCTTTTGGTTGGACTAATGAATATACCCTTAATATCAATTTGAAAATGAGTAAGCACAAGTTAGTTCAAGATATCAAGTCTTTGTATTTTGTAATACAAAGTTAAAAATGAGCATATGAGTATAGTGAGTTGATTTTTTTAATTCAATTATTAAAATCTTTAGAATTTTAAACAAAAGTAGAAGAGATGCCAAAAGAAAAAATTGTCTTTTATTTTTTTAATAACATATTTGATGATGGATTGACAATATAACATGAGATAATCATCAATTTTCAAGTATGCTGCTACACTTTAGTTTAAACAAAATTAAAAGAAATAGGTGGTTGTAACTTAAGCATCAAGAGAAGGTATCATCATGTTTCATGTATAGTAATTTTCGAACCACCAAAGCACATGCTTCTTTAATGCTTAATTATGCAAATATAAGAAGGCTCCAATTTGGCACCAAAGATGCTAACCCTTCAACCAAAACTAACCAAAAAAGGTTGGAATCTCCCCATCATCCATCAAATTCAAAATTTCAAAATCAATGGACTTTAACTCCACGGACCTACCTTAAACTATAGGCCCAAAATATTCATACCCTTCACGGGCCTAAAGTGAACAGTAAACACAAATATCTCGCCATAGGATCTCATCCGTTGCGGGGTCAACGTTAGAGTGGGCCAGAAGATGAATCTCCACCGCCAAATGTATTCGCCGATCCTAGAACTACGGCGCCTGATCCTCACCTACACGGACAGTCAAAGCACCAACCTCACCCGTGGCCTTCATTCGGAATCCCGAGAAACCCCATGTAACAACAAAGAGTACTGCTAAAGAGACAAAAATTTAAATTAATGATGTGACATAGTTTACATAAATTTTTTTATTTAATCTTAAATTAAGATATAATTATTTTTTATTTTTTAATTTATTTTATTTACATAATTTAAACCTATAATATCTTATTTTTACTAAAAAAATTAATATCAAATGTAGTATAATATTACAATTAAAGAACGATTAATTCAAGTAAAAAAAATTTGAGTTATTTAAATAAAATTATAAATTTAAATTTTATTGAATGGAAAATTAAGTGATGATAGAATTTTTTTTATTATGAGATTTGATATTGTCTGATTTTCAATTAATTAACATTTAATAGAATTTTCAAATATTAAAAATTTATAAAAAAATAATATAATATTATAAATTATTATAAATTAAAAATATTAATTATTAAATAATATAAATATACTTAAATGAAGTAAATCATACCCATATCATTGTGGGATAAATTTCGTCCCTTTTGTATTATTCCAATAACGTAGGGCATTGAAAAAGCCATCGTCCCGCAGCACCTCCGTTAGCTAAAGTTTTTGAATTTTAAAATTTTTGGCCACCTTTTTTTGGTCGACTTTCAATTTCTTTTTGCCGCTCTATTATAAAAGGAAATTTCTGCCTACTTTCTACTTTTTGAGTTGGTGAAGTCTTTTCTCGAATTCCATTGCCACCTCCACCGAGAAATTTGAACTCACCGGAGTTTCTGTACCTCTGGTTTTTGCTGGAGATGATGAAGATCTCAGTTTCAGCCTTGCTCTAGTTTCAGGTACTTTCTTTCTCCTTCGGTTTTGAAAATTTATGTTGGTTCTGTTCGCATCATTTGATTTCTATATGTTTCGGCTTACATTTTTAGTTTCTTGAAGACTTCGGGCGTGATTGCGATGCTTCTTGTAGCATTTTACGGAAACCTTTGGTTTCTTGTTGAAATGGAAGTGTTGGAGTTGTTTTAGCTTCTGTTAATTGCCATCAGTAGTTGCTAAATGCGGTGAGAAACTGTGGAGATTAAGCCTTACTTTGGTGTCTCCATGAATTCAATCTCGGCATCATATCATACCAAGTTTATGTTTTTCAGGTTCAGTTTTTAGGCATTTTTATTGTGTACCAGTGTTTGGCGGTGTGTATATTTGTTGCTATTTTTGGCTATGGTTAAAAATCAGTTTTCCCCTGGACTGTGTGGTTGAGGGGCTTGATGCTCTTATCATAGAAATCATGTGAACAGATGCATAAAATCATCAAATAAGGAATTACCGTACCGCTTGTTGCGAAAGAAATGCTTTCTTTCCTTTGTGATTGATTTATTTTTATAATTTCATTCCATTGAAAATAGCTTCACACATTTGTTTGCCTCTGTAAGCTTATTATTTTCTCTTCTTGTTGTGTTTGATTAGGTGCCTAGTTTGAAGCTCCTAAAATGGAACAGTATGAAATACTGGAGCAGATTGGGAAAGGATCTTTTGGCTCCGCAGTTCTTGTGAGGCATAAGCATGAAAAGAAGAAGTGAGTGTACTTGGAGCTTAATTCTTCTCGTATCCATCCACACTCGCACATATACAACTTGGTTTATGATGTTGTTTATGTAGTTATGATTCTTTGCTTTATTAATTGAAAATGTGGAAGTATATTGGATGAGGTGATTGCTGGTAAGGGCATTTATGTTTAACTTCTTTTTTTTTTTTTTTTAACATGCTATCTGTGTTTGTTCTTTTCCTTCTAGATATGTGTTGAAAAAGATCCGTCTTGCTCGCCAAACTGATAGGGCTCGCAGATCTGCCCATCAGGAGGTCAGTAGCTTTTTAATGTTTTTATTGTAAAATAAAGTGGGTACAAATTTGAGTCATTTACCTTTTCAAACAGCTGGTTTAGATGCATAAATTGCATTTCTTTCAACTTGGGAGTCATTTTTAGTGAAAGATATCTTGGCTTAGTGAGTGAGTTCTTGCTATTAAGACTCAAAACATAATCTAGCTTATTCTCTGTCCCCTTGTCCTATTTTCTTCTCCAACAATTAGCAGGATTGACGTCTGAAAGTGATGTCTAGCTTGTTTATTGTTATGATTTTAGTTATAAGATATTTTGTTGCTTTCTACTCTGCAGATGGAGCTGATTTCTAAAGCTCAAAATCCATTTATTGTGGAATACAAGGACTCTTGGGTGGAGAAGGTGAGTAAATTAGTGGATCCAATTCCAATATGCTGTTGTTGGCACCTATTTTTGTTCTTGTTTCATTGCTGCAACTCATGTAAGGTTCAGTCTCAATTTATGTATGAAAGTTACTTATTATGGGGTGCAAAAGCAGGCTCTGGTGGTGCCTAGGCCCTGGGCAGTGGGGTTGGGGATTTCTTTCCCTTTTTTTTTAAAAAGAGTTTTCTGTTTTCTTTTGGCATTTTTTACCAAAAAATAAAAACATCCTCTGGTGCCTAGGCATGGCACCTTTGGCAACACTGTTCTATTATCTCTCTCTCTCTCCCTTTCCCTTACTTTGTTTAAGTTTCCGAAGCTATTAGTACATATATTTCTTAGAATTGTATTTTTTCCTTTTTTGCTCTACTGTGATTCCTCAGATCTGAATATGTCCATTGATTTTTCAGGGTTGCTATGTGTGCATAATTTTAGGTTATTGTGAAGGTGGAGATATGTAAGTATATTTCTTATTTAAATTTAAGAGAATCATTTTGCAAATAATTTTACATTATCTTAGGGCATGACCTGTTATCTTGGTATTTTCTCTTATTTTCATTTTCATTTTTATTATATAGGGCAGAAGCCATAAAAAAGGCCAATGGTGTTCATTTTCCTGAAGAGGTAGCTAAGCTTTTGGTCAAATTTTTACTGTCTTTGCTAATCTACACTTTTTTCATTGCACCCAGTGACTTAGCTAACTCCATAGTTTAGTATTTCATAGATGGAATATAAATTATGTGCAGAAACTTTGTAAGTGGCTGGTGCAACTTCTAATTGCTCTCGATTACTTGCATGCCAACCATATTCTTCACCGTGATGTCAAGGTCAGTGGCATTTCTTTGTGGTGGGTTAGTCAGTTTGTATATGACATGCCAAAGCAAGTTCCCTTACAGTATTGCAAAATTGTTTCAGTGTTCAAATATATTTTTGACCAAAGATCAAGACATCCGCTTAGGTGGTTAATCCTCTCACCACTGATTTCTTGACTTATTTCCTTTATTTTTGAATCAAATTAGTTAGTTACACTTACACTAATACTTGCAAATTCTGATTTTCACCTAATAATCTGCTGACTTATACATGTTGACTGCAGGTGATTTTGGTCTCGCTAAGATTCTGACTTCTGATGATCTTGCTTCATCGGTAGAGTATTATAATTCTGTGTTCTGGTGTTGGACTCTTTCACCATGATCTTTATCTCATTTCCATGGCATTTTGCATCAAACACAGGTTGTGGGGACACCTACTTATATGTGCCCTGAGCTACTTGCTGATATACCTTATGGTTCCAAGTCAGACATTTGGTCTTTAGGTAAACTGCATTCTTCAAAAATATGGACATCATCTGTATCTGACCAATGTCAATTATTCTGTATGCTTTAGCGTAACTAATGTCTTATGCAATTGCAGGATGCTGCATGTACGAGATGGCTGCTCACAAGCCTGCATTTAAAGCTTTTGTAAGTTGCTCAACTAGTTAACTTAGATCACCCATGTCTCCATTTTTAGCATTAGATGACATTTTTTGTGGAAATGAGTGAGCAATTAATTATATTCTGCTTTTCTTTCTAATTTTTATATAGGTATAACAAAAAGATAATCTAAATGTTGAGGTCTTGAGGAAGCTAATGTTTTCAATTTGTTATCAGTATAAATACAATTTTTTTGTTGGTGGAAGCTTCAGTTTATCTATGGTTAAAAATCTTGGCTTTGTTGCAGGTTCTTGTTTTCTCACGCCCCTCATTCCTGGCCCTTGTTTATTACCAATGTAACATCTGTAGTATGACTAAAACAGTAAAACATGAGTCATTACCATGTATAATTACATCAGAGGATAGAATTACATCGGAGGATGTCGGTTCATTAGAAATTAGAATGCTATATAAAATACAAGGAATCTCATCCATCGTTTTTATTTTGTTTACAAAATGTAATAGTTTATCAACTGTTTTGTACTTGATAAAAACTTTAATCATACCTTATTTCTACCTTCTTGTCTAAGCAGGATATTCGGGCTTTGATTAACAAAATAAACAAGTCTATAGTGGCTCCTCTACCAACCATGTATTCTGGTGCATTGTGAGTTGACTTTCCTTCAGCATATTCCAATACCATCTTACTCACCTCTGTTATTCTTTATTTTTGTAGTCTTCCTGTATTGTAGAAAATAACATATAATAATCACAAATTTACAATTATCTCTGTTGTTATAAAGTCTTTGATGATATATGGGCAAACTGTTGTTGCAAGTTCTTTGTTCATACATGAGCAATTTTCTGAAATTGCATGTTATTATTTTACTTGGTATAATAATGTGCTTAAGTTAAGTGAAATGGTTTTCTTACCTGTTCTCTTTTTCCCTCAGTCGTGGGCTCATAAAAAGCATGCTGCGGAAGAATCCAGAACTTAGACCTAGTGTATGATTCTTTTCCCGTTTTTCATTATGTACTGCTTTTACCAATACATGCATGAGAAGTTCTCTCCAGAGAAGAAAAACATGGCTTAGAGAATATCATTATTCATGCATGATTATCCATTTGTGTTGTGGTGGAAGCTCGTTAATCATTTGTTCTTATTAATATGGTGCCACAGACCCTGCCAGTAAGCTCTACATCTTTTCTGGCCTAAAAGTATATTGCATTCATTATTTCCACATTGTTTATCCCCAAGGAGTTGGGATTATGCATGGCCCTGTGGTTATCCCATTTATTATTTGGATTTATATGTGGTTTAAACTTTAAATGTGCTGTTAGAAATAAACTAGCTAGGTGAGAAAGATCTCATGTGCTCTTCATTAATAAAAGCTGGTGGCAAATTCAGTCCATTGTTTTAGCATTCAAGGAAAAGTTTCCATTTTATCTCAGATCTACAATTGAGTTGAAACAGATTTGTTGATTTAGTCTTTCATTTAAAAAATTTTGGCCTTGAAGTTTACCTAAGATGTCCCCATAACAAAACCGTAACAAAATCCTTGCTGTGTCATATCATATCAGAGGCCTATTTCCCAATGGCTCTATGTTTTTCAATTGAAATTAAGGTTTGTAATCACTCTATTCACCTCAATAAGACGAAATCATTTTCAGGCTGCTGAGTTGCTTGATCACCCCCACCTCCAGTCTTATGTCCTCAAAGTGTATTTAAAATTGAATAGCCCTAGACGGAGCAGTTTCCCAGTTCGGTGGTCTGATTCCAACTTCATAAAGAAAACTAGATTTGTAGAGCCTGAAGATATTCCAATCCATACTTACGGAGAGAGAAGACGGTCAATCAGCAATGACAGGACCTTGAATCCTAGTGTGTCTGAAACTGAACAGGGCTCAAGTTGTTCTACACAGAGGGAACAGGATATTCCAAGTTTTTTGAATCTGAAGTTCACAGAAGTTTCAATTGGTGTTGACCGTGAAGAGATTGGAATTGAGAAGTCAATAGCCATGAAGTTCTCCACCGTTGCTAAGACTCCAAGGCTGACACCGGCAAAAGTATCTGCTACTCCTGGAAGACATACAATACCATCAAAGATATGCCATGGTGGACAAAAGCGTGACTCAGTAAGTATACCTGAATGCTAGAAATCATTTCTAAGGACCTGTGACATCATATCTTCTGAAAATCAGGGAGACTAAGTAGATTATAATTGTATTGTATTATATAAACTCAAATGTTTCTCCTACAAGCTAATGATAATTGCAGATTACCATTTCATATATATTTAATGATATGATAATATGTGCAGCTTCCAGTATCACATACCCCAGAAAGTAGGTCCTCTCAGGCATTGCGAAGAGCCTCCCTTCCATTCCCTACAAGAACAGCAGTCCCAGTGACCCCCTGTAGAGCTAATGTGGGTCTGCTCCCCAGCATTGAGTCTCCAGATGTTTCTGTCAATTCCCCACGGATTGACAAGATTGCAGAATTCCCTTTAGCTTCATATCAAGATCCCCTCTTGCCAACCCGTGCCACCTCCTCAACATCTGCAAAATGCTCATCTTCATCAATGGACAGTGCTGACCGTGCTCTCACAAAGGACAAGTGCACAATCCAGGTTGTGGACAAAGTTGTTACCAGGTTAAACTGCTCTGATGGAAGCCACAGAGATTCCTTAAGCGAGAGTGACTGCTCAGAACATAACCGCACTAACAGCCATTCATCTTATGAGTCACGAGAGCGGCGGTTTGACACCTCGTCTTACCAGCAACGTGCGGAGGCATTGGAAGGGTTGCTTGAGTTCAGTGCAAGGCTTCTACAGCAAGAAAGGTATGAAGAGCTTGGGGTGTTGTTGAAGCCATTTGGAACCGAGAAAGTTTCTCCTAGGGAAACGGCTATTTGGCTTGCCAAGAGCTTCAAAGAAACTCACGTGTAAAACCACAATACCACTTTGTACATAATTTCCACTTGTATCAGAATATGAAGGAAAACTAGGTCAGTCTTCCTACTCAGAAGGCTGCATGATGGGATGGCAATGTGGTTTTGGTTCTTTGCCCCATAAGTGTTGCAGTGTGTTTGAACAATGTGATTATTTTTCCCAGTGATTGAATCCAAATTTTCTGAAATTTTCTCGCTCTTCTCAGCCCGTACGATTGCAAGCGCATCCTAAAGTAATCTTCATCTTTATTTTTATTCTCAAACAATTGCATCTCCAAAAGCTCGAAGATTAGATTGTGATATAATTCATGCATAATTATTTTGATTGTGTCTTTCAAAGTACTCATCATCCTTTTCGCAACTCTGGTGTTTGATTAAAGAGGGCAGTTTTTTTAGCACAAACTGCATAAAAAAAAAGGTGCAGCATTGATGTCATCAAAATATCATTAATAAATAAACATCGATGAAAGTTCTTTAAAATAATTTAAGTATTCCAGCTACACTTTTTTTTTGTACAGTTGGTATTAATAAACATATTTATTGATTAAATCTCTCCCAATAGTTTTATTTTTGTTCGACGTTTTTTAGGAGCTCAACTTGAGCAGCGATGTTCCTTCGAAGAATCCATAGAGAAATGTTTCGTGTTTTGCGACGCAACCAAGGTATACTTAAAGGTCTGGACTCTGGAGTACGCTAAAACAAAACAAAATACTACCTCCGTCTCAATTTACCTTTTTTTTCTATTATTTTTATTTTTATTTTAAACTACACAATAAAAGATAATTTTTTTATCATTTAATCTCATTTCTTAAGTATGTTATCTAATTTAAATTTAAAAATTCTTATTTATACTTAAAAAATTATTATTAAATTATTTAGATTATTAACTTAATTACTTATTATACTTTGACTGGACACATTTTTAATTAAAACTTTTACATAATATCTGGATGATAATTAATTTTTTTTTTTTGTTATGCATAGTTCTTGTTAAGTAATATCAATAACAGATTATATTATGATATGAAGAGGGGATTTCTTGGTACAGAACTCATGAATCTTGTGGCAGTTTGTAAGGAGCTAAGTTCTTGTACGATAGAGGTAGTGGTGGGGCTCTGTTTTGCACGAGTATGTGATAGGGACCCTTGGTGGGGATGTGCTCGAGCAAAGCTTATTGGAAGCATGCTCTACTAAAGGCCGCCTAATACTTTATCATTCCAGAATGGATAGTTTTGTTTAGGAACAGGCTGGCAGAACCCTAAAAGAAAGAGTTCTGCCCAAACAACTGCTGGGTAATTGTCAAATGGTCATACTCTTTATTTGTACTATGTATATTATTTTTTTTATAATTAATATTTTTTATAATTTTTACTTTCAATTAACATATTTTATAATTTAAATTTTATAACAAATTATAAATTATAAATAAAATTATGGTGTAAATAAAAGATTAATCAGTTAATTTTTAAGTTTTTTTTTATAAAATTTAAATTATAAAAAGTATTGATCGAGATTAAAATTTTTTAAAAATATTAATCATAAATAAATAATGTATAAAATGCAAATAAAATGTTTGAGCTTGTAAGATTGTGTCTTAACTCTCTCACCTAAAAAAAAGGAAAAGGTGTTTGGAATCAATAGTTGACATCGTCTTTTCTCTTGGAACACGAAGTGGATTTTCACTTTAGATATAATTTGTATGTTTCCTTTATTCTAAAATTTTGTCTTACCAATGAGTATGCTAGAAGGGACAAGATAATATTTGATTTATCTAACAGCTTGGATTACTCAATTGAGTTTAGTTTAATTTACTGTTATGGTTTAAGATTATCAAATAAAATTGAGGATTATGATAAATGATGAAATTATCTATTAGGATTATCTAATTAAGGGTATTCTAGCAAGGCAGCAACTAACAATGAAGAACTAATTGATGCCAATTTTAGCGCATTAGAGTGTTATATAGTTAATACATGCACCTTCTATCTTTTTTGCTGTTGCTATTTGTGAAATAATTTAGGTTGAACCTCATTAATAGCTTAAGACTAAAATTTATTAACATTTAAAAACTTAAATTTAAATTATTAATATTCTCTATAATTATGTATAACATTTACAAATTTGCTAGAGATTGAGGCATTAGTTTTTGTAATTACGGACCGGTAACCTAGTTTCCTATGTGATACATAACTAGTAAATTAAAATTTGAACAAAAATGGATGCTTGAAAAGTGAAAACCGGCCTGATAATTCACAATTTTCTATAGACTTTGTTGACCGGCCAGAGAAATGGGTTTGATTTCAAAATGGCAACGAAGGCAATGGAAAACGTAAGGAGGAGATGATCGCTGAGAAAACGAGGCAAAGGGAATAAAGGGCATCTCTTTAGTCAGTGGTCACATATAGCAACGAATCAAAAGACCACAGAAAAGAGAAAGCTGCTTCTCTCCCCTTCTCCCTTTTGCCTTTCGTTCAGAAAATAATTAAAAAGCCAGGAATTAAAAAACAAACTAAAAACACTTTGCAGGAAGAAAGAAAAGAAGAGGAGATCTAAAAAGAGGGATGATGACGCATCCAGGCACGCCTATTTTGGCAGACTGATACTCCAAGAACTGTTGAGGTAGAACAGTAACAATTTGTGCACATTATGAAGAGCTGAAGTTTGTCGTATTAGCAGGGGGGTGTCGGGTTTGGATATTAACAAGACCTTGGACAGCTTTGGAACATATTCACTTCGGTCACCCTCCTATGTTACTGGGCATCTCTCTCTTTCTTACGCAACCAATGTCAGGGGGGGACAGGGGGCTCAGGGCTGCAATGCAAAATGCAAAACTTGCCCCCCACTCTTCATTTGTTTTCAGGAGTGTTGGACCTGTTGGTAACAATTTTCATTTTCCTTGTGAAAAATGTTGTTCATTATTTGCTTAAAGACAATTGGAAAAAAGATTCCATGTTGGATTCATTATAAGTTGCTAGTGACTTCTCGTCATCAATTGTACTTTTCAGTTTGATCGGTAGTTTACCAAAAAATTCTACTTTTTTTTTTAAAACAAAAAAATTTTTTTATTTTTAAAATTTAAACTTTAAAATTTAAAGCTAAACCTTGATCTTAATCTTTATATTGAATCACAATTTTCATTAATAACAAAGATAAAAGGATGAAGTTTGGAGAAATAGTTACAGTAACAGGAGATTTCGTGTCCTTGACATATCAAAACAAATAAGCTTGAAGAGCTAACTATCATTACATGTTGCAAAAGCATACCATTGTAGGGGCACTCAACAATGAATATGGGAAGACAACTTACTCGGGCATATCATTTAATAAAACCAAAAATTAAAAATTTACTAGTTGATTTATTTATAAAGTTGTTGTTTTGAGATTTTATTTATACTTTTATGGTAGAATATTTTTTATATTCTTTAATAATATATTAGTTTTGTTGGAACAAAAAAAAAAAAAAACTTGGGCATATATTCAATAATTTTGTACATAAATGATTTTGGGGTGAGAATTCAGTCTTAAAATTCTATAATCCTTTCTTTTCATTATGAATGAATTTATACTAGTGTAAGTTTTAAAAATTATTACACTAATTTTTAATCACGTTCTAAAATTTAAAATTTTTTAAAAAAAATTTAAAGGTTGTATTAATTGTTGAAATTTTTAAATAAATTGTTAAAAATTAATTTAATACTTACACTAATTTAAGTTGATTCTAACTCTTTTCTTTTTGGTCCTCCCATAAATGATTTCAGGTAATCCTTCAGTCACTAAAAGAAAGGAATTCATTGGCAAGATTAATCCATCATTGGTAACATCATCAGCAAGAGCTTGGACACTTTTACAAGCCATGTCCAAAACTAGAAAAGGCAAGTTATGGTGACTTATAAGGCTTCTCACAAGTTACCCCTTGGTGCTTGACACACTTCAAAAACTCTTCCAAAAAACTACAACCTAAAACTGAGAGCATGGTTATGTCATCAGATAAAATTGTTATGGTGAAATAAATTTTTTTAATGTTATTTTAAAAAATATTAATTTTATTCCATTTAACTGTTAAAAATATTTGATAGTTATAATTGTTAAATAATAATTGATAAAATAATTAATATTTATTAATTAAAAAATTAAGATTAATTTATACAATAATATTTTTAAAAGTATTTACAGATTTTCTTCACTAAGCCAAGAAACATAAATTATTTAAGTTTTCCTTTGAATTTGGTTAATTGATCTAAGTATTTCATTCGCTGTTTCTGTTTTATGTTCTTTTTGGTACAAAAGGAGTAGCTGTCATGTGCCTCCGCTTGCTGTCTTTTTAATCTTTACTGTAGCCTCTTCTGCTTTTTTCTTTTTCTTTTTTTCTCTTTAGCAGAGATTCACTTTATTTAAAGTTGACCGCAGTTTACAGTAATTCAATTTTATTCATATAAAAGGGTATGGTTGAATTTATATTGATTTTAAGGTTTGTTTTAAAAGTATATTTATTGTATTTCTTTTATAATTAATTTATATAAAAAATATAAATATTAACTCTGATTTAATTAAGGTTAAATCTCTAATTTGGTCCCTGAACTAAAAAAATTCTTGATATGATTTTTGAACTAAAAAAATCCTTGATTTGGTTATGAACTATTGAACAAACCCCCAATTTGATCATACTGTTTACCAATTTATCTTAAGTTGGTTCTTTTGTACCAAAAAAAAAAAAACAGTTGACGTGTTTCATTATTAATGTGACATGTGACCGTTAAGTAACTATTTTTCACCGTTAAATAACTATTTTTCACCATTAAGTAACAAATACGTTAGATTTTTTTTGTATAGAAGGACCAACTTGGGGCTAAGTTAATAAATAGTAGGGACCAAATCAAGGGTTTGTACAATAGTTTAGGGACCAAATCATGGATTTTTTAGTTCAGGGACCAAATCGAGATCCGTACAATAGTTTTGAAACCAAATTGGGGGTTTAACCTTTAAGTAATAGTTAATTAAAATTATTTACGTAGTAATAGTGTTAAAATACATATTAATTTTTTATTTTTATGAAAATTAACTATAAAATAATATGTTTATTACAGTATTGGATATAAATTACACAAACTCTTTAAAATATCTTTACACTAATTTTTAATAAGGTTTTTCTAAGGCTATAGGTTAAGGGTACTTTTTTTAAGTAGACTGCCTAAATTTACCTCTAAAGTTAGGCAAGAGTGAGAGATTCACCTTAAAACAAGAAATGAGGATAAATTTACTTATGAAGTTTTCTTGAACTTGGGCAAATCATTTCAAATTTAATGTTTGATGTTAGATGATATCAGCACTCTATTATTTGTTATATCATTGATAAGTTCATTGTTACTAGGTTGTTAATATTAATTGATGTTATATGTTAAATTTGAGATAATTTATCTAAATTAAAAATTTTATATGTACATTTGTCTCTATTATTTGTTTAGGAGTGGATGGATCCATCCCTACTACTTAATTTTTAGGGTGGATTTAGGCATTATACAATTTTTTATATAAATTGTTATTAAAAAATACAAATTAACTGTTATTTAATTAACCATTCAATTAAAATAATTCACATGACATTTGTGATAAAATTAATATCAATTTTTGTTATTTTTAATATCAATTAATATAAAAAATTGTATTAATTACACCTTTAACATTAGTACATATTAGAAAAATCCTCTTTAATACTTATTTAAAAGAGGAACAATTTACTTATATATAAGTTCTACATATTATATTTATATAAAATTTCAATTATTTATCTCTTCATTTTTAATGATTGAGATTTATCATGACTTTTTAAATTAAAAAAATAATTATTTTTAATAAATATAAATAATTATCAACAATTGAAAGTGAAGAAATGATGGTTGAAATTTTATGTAATAATAATGTATAAGACATATGTGTACTTAAATTTCTACTCATTTTAAAAATTTAAAAGTTATTTTAAAAATTTAATGTTGCACTAAATGTTCTGTTTTGGAAATTTAAGTATTGGATAAAATAATGAAATTTTGAACTGAGTGTGTGAAATTGGTGTAACTTTTATTCTCGTATAAATTGTTTTTAACTCTAGACAATAAATATAAAAAATTGATTTTTTGAGCAGATTATATTTAAAAATAACAGTTTGGAATTAGAAAAAGACAAAAATATTTTTGATAAATTTCCATGTATCGTGATTTAATAATTATAATTTTATTTTTTTCAACCCATATTGATATTTTAACTGCAAGATGTATTGAGAAAAACATTTATGTTATTATAATGTTTTTATGTTAAATTTTTACCTAACGATTCATAGAAAACCATTGATGAAGAGGCAAAAGCTTTTGTATGGAGTAATGGAGAGTCAACTCTTTTATTGATGGTTAAAAATAATACAATTTTAACAAGATATGCTAGAAGAATTATAATATTTTTTTTAAATTTTTTTAATAGTTAGAAATTTAAGTTTTTAAATTAATAATTTTAAATTTAAATATTAAGATAAATAAGAATAAATTAAAAAAAGGAGTTATTACGTGCTCTATAATCTATTATTCATATCAAAAAACAATAGCATTCCGTTTTTCATATTTATTATTTAAATGTCTTAAAATTTTTTTTAACAAATTATATCTTTTAATTCTCTTTTAACAATTTTAACCATGCATATTGATAGCAGAACTATATATTAAACCTGACGTATGGAAACAATTCAGTGGCTAGAACCTGATAGTGACAGCATTCTCTTTTTCATGTTTTCTAAAATAAAATTAAAACCCACCAACGCACCACAAGTCCACAGCACTCTACCATATAAAAAATCCTGCTTCTTTGCGACCAAGCTAAAACTCAAATTCCAAGGCCTACCTCCCTCTCTTTTTTCTTCTCTCCATGGAAGTGACCAGTCCAAAGAGCACCAGCCGTCTGCCGGAGCACATCTCCCTCGCCGGAACACAGCTTCCGCAGAGCCCAAGAGGCCCAATGGAGTTCCTTTCAAGGTCATGGAGTGCCTCTGCCCTCGAAATGTCCAGAGCCCTCGCTCCTCACTCGGCACCCAAGTCCACCAGCGCCTCTTCTTGCACCACCACTTCAATACCCGAAGACATCAACGGCGAAATGGAAGAGCTCGACAAAGCTCCGGCAAATCAGTTCTCCTTTGCCTTCTCTGCTACTTCGCAACTTGTTCTTGAACGCATCATGTCACAGTCCGTAAGTCCACATTCACCATCTTAATTATCTTTTTACTCCCTTTTTTTTTTTTTTTTAAACATTTCTAAGTTCTTCTTGGGTATACACATGCAGGAAGTGTCGCCATTGACGTCAGGAAGACTCTCTCACAGCAGCGGTCCATTATTAAACGACAGCCCCCCGGTTTCTCCATCGGAGGAGTTCGATGACGTGGTAAAGGTACATTTACATCATATACTTTCTCTCGTCCACATTTACATAAACGACATCGTTTTTCTACCAATGACTTTAATAATTTAATATTAATCATTTATATGATTAATTATTATAAATAATTTAATAATAATTTTTTTAATAAAAATAAAAAATTTTAAATTTAAA